CGCTGGTCAGCTGCAGAAGAACGCCAGGTGGCACTTTAACGCCCACTGTGTTTAAAATCAGTGCAGTCGGCCGGTGCCCGAGTGGTCTGCGCGCCTGGTTTGCAACCATAAGGCCACCGGTTCGAATGCGCGTAGGGTTGGGTGTCCTCGCGGTATACTCAGCCCGCGCGCGACTGCTGGTGGTCTCGCAGCAGCGAAGCGTCGTTACGGCGTACAGCTGATAGTATAAAAGCAGCGTTACTACGAAACAGCTACTGCTTCGCCCACAGTTGCAAAAGACGCTCGTGGTTGTCCGTACGGCCTGAATTGAGTCTATACTTACCACCTACTTGAGCTTCTGAAGTTCCCAGGAGATATACTTGTACGTTCATATCCCCTTCAGGTAATATGATATCTGAAGTAGTAGCACTGCGTCGTAGCGTGTTTACTTCGTGGTAGAATGTATCCTTGGCAACATCAGAACTACATTCAATAGGGGTATAAGCGGAAACTACAAATAAACAGCTCCTTGTACTGTTTCGTAAATCAACCTTGGTCAATGTCGTTAAACGGGCTGCACACGAACGGCTATTCACCGAATCCCAGTCAACCTTTGAGCTGAGTACAATACCTACTCCAGCTTGAGCAGAGGCTACCGGTAAGCCCCGAAACTGGTGATGAGCCTGGTAACGACATGTTGGACTCTTTCAATATTCTACGCCTCGCTGCGAATGGTCGGGCAATAGGCGGTCAGGCCGTACTCTGTGATGATGGAAGAGAAGTGACGAGTAGCTATGTTTTCAGACCAGATGCCGAGGCTGTGTTTAAGCGCCCAGATCATGCGCAGTCCATTTCGGTGTAGCATAGGACATTCACGAAAGCATGTAATAGTTGGCTATCAAGAGTGTAGGTTCAACCATCACCACCCAGGCTCATGAATATCGATTTGGATGAGTTGACCGGGTGGGAAACTTCTTCAGACTAAAGGCAACTAAGGTCTTATTGAAGTAGGCCGCAGTCATCGGAAGTGCTAATCACTCCAAATCTTTTACTCGTCTGTAAACAAGGCACACGACGACCGTAGAAGCCTAGGTAGATAGTTGATATAAAGCAGGAGTAATGTAAGCCCCAGCACTGTGTCTTGGGATACGCCACTGGTCGAAGGATATCAGTCGGTCGCCTGACTATCGACTTGCACCCGCTCAACTAGAAACTCTGATTCAGTGGTGCAGTGAGCCGCCAACAACACACTCAGCTTGAGGAATAGTATCTCATGGTTCACCTTGTCGAACGCTTTGCTGAAATCTGTGTAAATTATGTCGACAGACTTCCCCAAGTTCACTCTTTGCAACCATTCATGTCTCGTCATGAGCAGGTTGTTGATGCATGAACGGCATAGCATGAAACCGTGCTGTGGAAGCGTCAGGCGGTCTTTTGACCGGAACAGTTGTAGCAAACTCTTCTTCATAATCTTCTCGGCAACCTTAGCAAAAATAGGTATCAAACAAATTTGTCTGTAGTTGTCTACTTTGTTGGAGTCACCGCCTTTCGGAATCGGTCTTACCACCGAGCATTTCCATTCGATCAGCAATGAACCTTCAGACAGTGACCTAGTAGACATTTCTGCTACGGCAGGTGAAATGATGGACGATAATGCCTTGCGAACTAGGGGGTGGAGCAAGTCAGGCCCGGCAGGCCTGGTGCCATCAAAGCTAGCTAGTAGTGTACGCACCTCCTCCACACCACAGTCCAGACTGTTGAATTCGGAGAGAGAGGTGAATGCCCGAACTCGGTACGAACACCTGGTCGTTTGTGAATACTGAAGCAGACTGCTGCCAAGGCAGACGCACTCAGTACTGTAGGTTAGGGGCTGTCTATCAGCATTCTATCATTGGTATGTCACTAGTCGGCTTCAGGCGCCGCTTTACGTGCGCAAACAGTTTCTTTGGACGGTCTACTGCGGTTGAAAGCTGCTCTTCGAAATGCTTGCGCTTGCTCGTCTTCACACAGTTGCAGATATTTCGCTGCTTTTTATACTCCTCGTCCACCGAGCTGTCGATAAGGAATTTGTCCCACAGCCTGCACCGCCGCTGAGCCAATTTTCCATATTCCTTGTAGAACCCATGCGTCTTGACTGATCAGATTTTCCGACCGTTGAGCGGCACAAACTGATTACACAATGAGTTTACTCCATTTTTTATAACTGACCAGTAAGCTTCACCAGATTCAGATTACGGCAGAGGCCAGTCCACTTAACTCGCAGCTCAGGTCAGTAGTTGTAATCTGGCCGCAGTGCGTGGGATTGCTGCAGCGGCGACTCCATGTTAGCGACAAAACTAAGTGGTCATTCTTTGCCAGAGGTTCCAAGATCCGACTGTCATATCAAGACGTTCACGGCTGGTTAACGTCAAGTTTGAGCACGTTGGAGTTGAGCGCGGTATTATGCGCGCCGGTTGGAAGATGTGGTGCTGCCCCAGTTTCAGGTACCATATCAGCGAACTTTGCTTCAGCCTCACAATATCCGGTGATAAGTTCAACTACAGGCCAGTGTATTCGAGAACGATTGAAGTCACCTATGAGTAGAAAATCACAGCGACTCACGTGGTCTAGAGATGCTGCAGCCAATCCAAACAACGGCTCGGGGATTGCAATATAATGCACCCACAAGTAGCTCTCTGCGCCCGAGATGGATCGAGCACCACGACTACTCACATTGGCCATCTTCACTTCGGTGAGCCATCACAAGTCTCTTACACGGAAACCCGGATGTAGAGCAAGATGCAAGGCATTATATACGTTATCACAGTGGAAGCACGAGTAGCCACTAAGCTTAACTTCCTGGATGAGTACATCCTCGTTTAACCACATTTCTGCAGGTCCCATTACATCATCTCGCTCGAAAGCAACAAAACGGAACAGTTCATTGTGCCTGTTCATAGTACTGCAGACCTCGGTAAAGGACACAAATGTGTCAGCTTATACGCCGTAACGGCGCTTCGCTGCCGCGCGACCACCACCAGTCGCGCGCGGGCTGAGTATACCGCGAGGACGCCCACCCCTACGCGGAGTCGAACCGGTGACCTTATGGTTGCAAAGCAAACGTGCAGACCACTTGGCCACCGGCCGACGGTAAAGGACACACGCAGAGTGCGATAAGAACTACCGGGTGTACCTAAAGAGTAAACGATCGATGTATCCTAATTCGCGTTAATGGTGTAACCACCCGAAAATCCATAATATGTAGGTTTGTTCCTCCCTTATCGTTTCGCCGCTTTAGCTCGATGATGGTACAGTTTAGACGCCCCGGTCTGTTGGATCTATATCCGGACGAATATGCACTCTTTCGTTTCTCAGTCTGTTCAGCTGAGACCATATTAGCTTCGAGCTGGCCTCCTCGACAATATTATGGTTCGGTCCTTCTCGTCAGTGTTTTTGCCGAGGCGGATGACTACTTCACTTTCACTCTACCCTCACCCACACCGAGGAGTCTATCAATTAGGTTATGTCAACCCTCTGCCTTGGGTTGTTGGACTCAGGTGCGTGGGAAAGCATCCGCTTTGATCGCCTTTTACCATTCGAACTGGTTCCTGCGGCAGTAGGTTGGCCTCAAGCTTTTCTTGACCCAGCCTGTTGTTGGTCAGTAGCAAGCGGCTTCTCTTCGTTTCGAGGCTTCTGTCGCTGCGTTTTTCATGGTTCCTTACCTATTGAACATTCATCTGGGTCTTTAGAGCTAGCAGGTCGCGAAGTCCGTGTATCATTTACCTCAGTTGATGATGATGTCTGTAAGAATTAGGATATCGAAGTATTGAGTTGTCAGAGAGGAGAATGAATGGTTTCGTTAAACCTTGGATAGAGTCTAGGCCAGTTTGCGAGACAGTGTGACTACTACTGCTCACAGTTAAACCTTTTTGGTGGCGAGCTGCCTCGACACACACGCGTTTCTCCGGCTACCTTAGACTGCGACAATCTTTGCATAAAACTCGGGTGGAAGACAAAAGACGATAGGAGTCGGCATGTATTCCAACACACGAGATATGAAATCTAGCACAGTCATCAAAGCACGTAAGGGCATTTGCCGTGTTTCCAACAGTTGTCGAACATAAACCACAATGTGATTTCTTCAACGTGAAGGCGACGTAAAATGGTAAGGCAGAATTTGCAAAGCGGAACTATGAAATCTGTGGAGAGATATGATCTTGAAATTGCAAGTTCAAAAATGAAACTGATTGATGCCAAAATTTTCAACATCATACTTCCAATATACCGATAAATCCACAAGGGAGTATTCTGACAACACAACCACGAAATAAGCAGCTGGCGGTCCCTAATTGCGAATCTTCCCTTTCTGTCGTCTCTTACGTTATTGTTTTTTTAACAGTCTGTATTCAGACACAGATTCGTGCCTATCTGCTCTCTCATTTTCCCCAGCTAGACACAGAAGCTTATTTTGTCCAGGAAATGATGCTGGGTAGGCTGACCCATAAAAATTCCATGCTGCCTATGCATCTCACATACTTTATTTTTTTGATCCTAGCCCAATTTTGTTGATTCGCAATTACAGACTGACGGTTAAATGTGAACTCGCACCTTTCGCCTGCTTTGCCTACTACCGCTCTAGCCATTTGCAACTTCTTACTACAGCAGTACGCCGGTACACTGTACCCATGCTTCGCTGCCACACGACCACCACCGGTCGCGCGTGGGATGAGTATACCGCGAGGACGCTCGCCCCTACGCGAATTCGAATCGGTGACCTAATGATTGCAAGTCAGGCGTTCAATCCTTTCGGCCACCGTCCAACGTACATCCCGATTAAATTATTTGGTAGCATTACGGTACGTGAACCCAGTCGTTTGTACCTCAGACTCACACGTCTCGTGGAGTTGACATCTGTGGCTCCGATAGCTACGAAAGTGAGAAGTATTATACTGGTGATGACCGTTCTTTATGTCGGAATCCCGTAGTATTGTCGTTTTCATTTTGAAATACCCCTTCTGCACCTGTTTTTTGCTACGCTTCAGATGTCACCGCGGAACATTGCCTCAATTTCAGTTCAGAGGGGCTGGGTGATTCTGTCAGCACTGTTGATGATGGTGACCGCGTTCCTTCAAAGCGAGCCAAGGTGAAGCTTCTGGACACTGAAACCGACCTGGAGACTGTCAGGTCTAATATCAAACGAGAATACGATATCAATGTGGGTTCTAGAGAGAGCAGCAATGGCACTGTGACAACGGTAACGGATCGTTTTGACAGTTCACGTCATGAAGAAAAGGCATTTACTCCAACCGGTTCCGCCTCGGCTTCCCTCTTTGGCTGTACTTGGAGTGGCTCGTATTCTTCTCATCTTGGTCAGTCTCGCGATGACGCGATTCTTCTAGGAGATTCGGACGATGATCTAGAAAAGGTAGTTTTTCACAACGCTGTTTTGTTCCTCTTAAACTTATTATAGCCATTTGAGTAATACGCCACTATTTGGCGAAGTCAAACTGATCTTGTCTCCACAGCGCTTTGTTTCTTGCTAACTTTTTTGGTCCGTTCAGACAACCATCCGGTGGTGTTTACGCACCCAAATGTCTTATTGGGTATTTTTCACGCCTGACGCTTTTACGACTTATTCGCAACCTTTTTATGTACATACAATTTCCATCTTAAGCTGAACACTATTTTTAAGCAGAACACCAAAAAGTTATTAACACGAAGGAAAATAACAACGTTAAAGTCGGGCAGGGCTGTCCCGCTGCTTCCCTCGTCAAATCCAGCATCATATTGAGAACGCAGTTCGTGCATTCCTACTGCCTTACCATTCCGACGCTGTCTTGAATGGTCGCATCTGACCAGACGTTGGGTTTATTGGCAGGTACTCCACTGACGCCTTTTTCCTGGTTTAGCATATAGGAGTAGGGCGATAGAAGTTTCAGCCGATTGAACGAACCCAGAATCCTCTTTAGCTCGTCCGGCATGTGGATTCTGGCCTTCTCCGTGATCAACCATGCACAGTTCATCTCCACACTGCAGCGTATACTCGCCATAAGCTCTTCAACAAACATTGACAATTTTTCACTATTGCAGGTGCCATCATTGTTAATCTGAGTGAACGAGGCCTTGATTATGCATTACCACAGTCCGCGTCACCACACTGTCTCTGACTGGCCGTTTTGGAAATTACACTGCACTTTATTTTAAGCAGAAAATCATCACTTTCTTAGCGAAGCTTGGGGAGTAAAGCGACTGTACGATGTTCAGGCCACGTTGCAATCACACCATTGTAACCCGAACTGTGCATGCAGCGAGCGCTTTCGCCAGCCCTTCCTTTGATCGTGAGTGTCCTTCACCTCGATCAAACCCTGTCTCTTTATAGACCTTCGCGTATTTTGTGTGAGCGAACTTATGCAGTGCACGACAGTTTATGCTGTTATGACTCAACTAAACCAGCCCAGCTTTATTAGTCTATTGCTGCACGAAACGACCTAAGTGCGCGACGAAATGACGCATCCCTGAGGTAGCGACGGTGCAAGTGAAACTCATCAACACAGAAAGAGATCATTACCAAACCTGTGTTCGTCAACGGTAAGACCGTCCACCAAACTACTGGAATCGCCGATGTCAGCCAGAGAACGACATGAGACCTCATCAATGCTTACAGGGGAGAATGACGAAAACTCCACGCAAATGTGGAGAAAACTACGTAGAGAAGCCAACTTTCGATGTCCTGCATCGCGTTGAAGGTATTTAAACGGTATTCGGAGGGCACTTTGGTGCAACTACAGCACGGATGAAAGATAACGGGATTCACCTTTCCGCATTTACGGAAGGCCAAAGGTTACGCTTAAAAGTGTCACTACGAGCTAGTCTGCGTCGTGTGCTACAACGATCGCATGCTGGCAGCCTTACGCTCTTAACTTCTCGGTACAGGCCCCGAACGATAAAGGAGGTTCATCTTCGTAGGTGAGATCGGCTTAAATCTCCATATGCGGCGGACAGAGGCTATCTCAAGAGGGACGCGCGCGGACGTCTTCTTGCCCACAGTCAAGCCGCATGGTGACGCTGATTGTGCTAATGAATAACTAAGGCATCGTTCACTCAAAGATCATCAGCGATGATATCTGCAATGATGCAAAGTTCTACATGTTCGTTGAAGAATTTATGGCACGTGTACGATGCAGAAGGGAGATGAGCGGTGCATAGATGATCATGGACAACGCCAGGATCCGCATGCCGGACGATCTAAGGAGAATCCTGCGCTATTCAAGTCAGCTGAAGTTCCTGTCGCCCTACTCACACAAGCTAAACGCAACGAAAAATGTGTTTTCGATGATACCAGTGTCGGTGAGAGGCTTGGTGACCGGCCCGCCACTTGACGAGATGCTAAGTATGGTCATTCAAGAAAGCGTTAGTATGGTAACACAGCAGGACTACACGATCAGCGTCTCCAATAAGATGCTGAATCTGACAAAGGCAGTAGTTTGACAAAGGGGCTATATGTGTATGACCTGCACCACCGACGGCTTCCTCCAATCACTCCATATCTGGTGTAAGACCTGAAGAATATGACTACGAGGCATGCACAGGGGAGCCGGTTAACACTTCTTCCACGTGCGCCTTATTAAATTTTGGGGAACATGCATACCAGACGTACACAGTGTTGTGGCTGGGCCGTAGCCCGTTTCACACTATGTGTGACCGCTCTTTAAGGCTAGCACTATCACGAAGACTGCACCGTTTCTCCCCCAGCAATGCTTAACAGTCCCTCGATGTCAATAAGCTAGGTAAGTTTTCGACAAGTACGCAACTTTGGAATATCTACATTAAATGCAACCAGACCTTAAATATCAGTTTTCCAACTCCTACAAGAGGATAAAATAAACACGTGCTAACGCACAGACTAACAGCAGCGGTAATATGGCACACGTGCCACATCTACCTCAGTATTGCTCTGGGTTAGTAACTATAATCGGGAGCAGCGTACTCACGAGCGCTGACAATTACCGGTTTTACTTTTCCCCCGTCTCTTTGATATTGCTCTCTCGTGACCATCTTGATCACTGACCAGACCGGCTCAGCTGAGACGCACACGACTACATGTGCTACAACTTCAGGTGCCTGACGTCGATTGGCTAGGCTCCATCGGTGCCTGTCGCTTGCGCAACCGGTGTTTTTCTTCCTGATGTTTCAGTGCTTTCTGATGAATCCGGGCAACTGCTTTCTTGATGGGATCGTGCCACTGGCGTCGATTCACTGCTATTTCTTACCGACATTTAAAGACAACATTGGCTCGTGATAAACTCACCTTGATCATGTCCTGATAGCTCTGCTTCGGTTTCCCACATTCCGCTATACTCCTTTTTGCGTATAACGCTCTGCTCGTTTCAGCCGACGGATTCTGTCGTCATTGAACTGAGTGATGGCGAAGCTGATTTGAATGAGCCTGAATATGAAACGGAGATATGCGAACTACAGGATGCCGCTAATTTGGCGGATGAACATGGACGAGTTGTGATAAATCCAAATAGGGATGTCAGCACAGAACCTGAGATCGTTTTGCCTCCGCAAATAGCTAAAGTAATCAAGCCGCACCAGGTGAGCACACTTATCCTTGCAGACCTTCCTGGAACGTAGCATTTCTAACAGCAAAGTACTTGTTTCCTACTTTATTCTGTCACGATAAAAAAAATTTTTCGGTATTTTTGCTATTCACTGTTTCTATCGCATCCTTGCTGCATGAAACTGATACTAACCCAGTAATCACACGTAACGTATTTACCCCTATTTTCTTCTTCACCATGACGTGTCCCATACCAGTTATCATTACCATAAACGGCAGCACATCAACCATTTGAACTGATGCCTAGATGTCGTACTACTACGTTGATTTACGGAGCGCAGTCTAGTAAGAGGGAGAAATAGGGAACTTGGCCTAGAGCCTTGATAGCCGAAGCAAACATTCGTGGTCAGAGCACCTACACTTTGTCAGCAACATGCTGACACAAACAGCTGGACATCGTACAAAGCTAAGGTGGCATCAGCGGGACAGCTTGCTTGCGACTTTCATTACCTTGCAGATAACTCAGCATCTAACACATTAAGCAGACAGTCCGACTGGGCGATGACAGTAGACACGCTGCTGATGCCGACGGCGAGCCATGTCCTGTGACGTCTCATATTCTTGCTCTCGTCGTGCTTTAGGCAAAACAGTTCAACCTACGTATTTCCATCTACTTAGCTTAGTACTTCACTGAACATTGTCTGTACGTTCTTAACTGCAAGTTCACAGCCAGCTATCCATTGTGGCTTGATACCGTTGCACCTCCTTGTCTTTTTGTGGGGTTAATGAGTTGTAAGAGAGCATTTTTGAACCGCGGAAATGATTGAATACTATTGACCAACGCTTCAATAGCCCCTTCATCGTTCGCAGCGAATCACGTTGTGAACTTTATTTACACGTACCGACTTTCATCCGCGGAATATCGTACTGTCAGACCGTGCGGGCTGGTCGCCTTCATGGTTGCCATTTCGAGCTGCGGTGCTGTGGATTTAATGGCACTGACCGAGTTTCAAATTAGTCGTTTTATCCATAAGGAGGCTACTCCCCCTTCTGCTTGTCCATGGTATCCTAACTTCACTCGGTCACTATGATCCTCAAGTGACCCAACGGAAACTGAACTGATTTTTTAACACAGTTATTATGTTCGAGTTTGATCAGGTCTTTTTAACTCCACGTGGTGACTATGTATGTATGTATGTTGATGGATGGCTCGGTCACCTTTTACCAAGCACTCAAATTGCCACTGTCTTGAAATCAAGGCAGATGCTTAGGCTCCTTGCTTTTAAGGTTTTTGCATCTGTCACCAGATTTTGATTGTGTGACAACCAGTAGTTATTGTACTGTGCGCAAATGTCATTCACCATTACCTTTTACATGCTTGACTTATCCAATATATATCTTAATTTGTCAATTTTATGTAAGAGTTTTTTCTTTCTGCTTTGACATTGGACCATACTATAGTGTAGCACCGCTGTGTTGCAACATTGTCTCATAAAATCCGTTCTTTGTCTTACGCAATATCGTTAGATCGCTTTTGCACGAATGCACTTGTTAAACCTAGTGAACAACGACGCATTTCCAACAGATTCGGTCTCCCACGTTCCTTCAGTCAGCTGTTAATGATAATTCTTCATTTTAGGTCAGCGGCATTCGGTTTCTGTACGACAATCTGATTGAAAGCCTGAGTCGCTTTGAAACCACTGGAGGTTTCGGTTGTATTCTGGCTCATAGTATGGGCCTGGGTAAGACGATTCAAATCATCGCCTTCTTGGACATCATCTTCCGTTACTGCAATGCCAAGCGAGTACTTGCGATAGTACCCATCAATACTATACAGGTGGTTAATTCACTTGTTTCCTTGCCTGTATAACACATTCCAGGTCATGCACACATTTCATTTCGCTGCGCCCCCTCTGTTTTCCCTTTCATTAGAGTAACTCATCATCCAGGCCGCCTCGCACAATCTTCCTTACACGGGACGTGCTCGGGATCCTCTATCAGCCGTTGCATTTTTTGAACGCATTGACTTCTGTTTATTCTACTCCTGTGCATTTGACTAAAGTCACCACGACACATAGCATTATGGATCACAATCCTGCCTTGTAACCCCTAGGGCTGGGGTGTCCGAGCCTGCCTACGGACCGGGCGACCCTCACAGTATCTAGTACACATGCAACCGGTGGTGGTTGCGCGGCAACTAAGCATCGGTACTGCGTACCGGCGTATCGCTGATGCCTTTTTCGCCCATTCCTCCACCACCTTCGTGCGTGCTTACAACTACTCACTTCGTTGCACTCCATGGAATTCTATTGGACCCATCACATCACTTACAACGTTTTTAAAGGGTCAATTCAGCTAGATGCAATTTATCACAGCTATCCTCATTCATGCATCCATTCACACACGGGGATGGAAAGTCTCTTGGTTCTTTCAAACTTCATCAGTGATGCGCACTTGTGTGTCCCAGTGGTGCAGTCTTATCTTTGCGAAAGTGGGATTTTATTAGTCAGCAATGGAGGATTTCAGATATTGAACGGTTATTTATCCAAGCTATTTACTCCACCATAGGTTGCTAAGCGGCCACTGCTCATTGTTGAACCCCGTCATTTGATCATCTCCAAAGTGCGTAGCGGTGGAAAGTGACTATTTCATACCAACACCAGTTATTTCGGCTGTTGATCTCCATCGTGTCATCGCGACGCATCTGAAACCTAATGTAATGCCTATTTCCGCCATATGTTAAACTGCTTGTTATCACGCTGACATACAGATCTAAAGACAGACATGCATGTCCTTATAGTCATAACAGACGGAACATTTTCCGGGGAGTATGTATGCGTGAAATAAATCAAAACTCGGTCATGGCGCACATCGGTTTAGTGTTTACACTCTCCATGCTATTGTCATAAGGCGGTAGCGCTACTGACCAGTTTTGCCGGCGGAAAAATACGAATGTAGTCTATTGATTTGCTTCCACCCGCTTCAAGCAACTCGGTTCCTGCGTACCCATATGTAAATTCGCCGAATCTTGTCTATCGCCGATCGTATTTTCAGGTATATAACCTGTAACGATTGAAAAGCGCGCACAGATTGCCGTTGGCCCACACGTGACTGACCCTAGGCTGTTCGCTACCGACCTTCGTTTATCTTACTGCTTTGATTAGTCTGATTAGGAGGCGGCGTGGTTCTAACTTACACCTTACTTCAATGTCCACCTTCACGTAGTGCAATCTATCTTTGGGTCTTTGTATTTCGAAATTTTCACCGCTACTCACGGAGCCTTGTGCAGATTCACGTTACGTTTCCCCAAGGGTTGGCGGCTCTTGTGGTGTGTAAGGCCTACTCTATCGTCCGTTCTCTTCAATGTTGTGACTCCTTCTGAGTTGCAAACCATGCCAGGAGAGTGGTTAATATTACTGCGTGCTCTCTTTGAATGTGACTTGTTCGTTATGTGGGTGTTGCCGAGTATCTCGTCATACAATGCTACGTGTCCCGGCGTATGTTTCGCACCTTAGAACTGTAGAGCACCGTTTCGGAGTTGAGCCGACATGTGGTTAGCTTAACTACGTGTGCGAGATGAGACGAAATACTGATATCTCCGGTTGGCTGTACAGTTATTGCGGTATTCGTCAAGCTGGGTAATCTTCTTGCAAATGTGTCGTCAGCAGTCAAGGTAACGACGGTTGGGAAACTTAATCCATGAAATCGACGGATGTAAAGAGACTTATAGCGTTCGGCCACTGCTACCCTCGTAGCTTAACACCACTGGTGGTGTTGCGATATCAACGAACGTGTTCGGCGTTTTATGGCGCAGGAAGACCGTGTAAACAACTCAGCGCCATCCTTTCACACAGCAGGTTCCGATGGCTGGATTATATGTTGTGCATGCCAACACCCCGACTCTCACTACGTACGTTTGCACGAACGTTGTGTGGATATAAGAAGACAACGGGAGGCCAACCGATGAATTGGTTAATAGGAATGTTAAACTCACTTCCAAGTCTTATATATATATATATATATATATATATATATATATATATATATATATATATATATATATATATATATATATATATATATATATATATATATATATATATGCCCCATGCTGAGGCTGACGTTGCATTCATGATGCTTCTTCACCGCAGTTGGGCTAAACCAACTTACACTTAAACTGGGTCTTTTCAATGTGGATAAAATTCGTTACATTTTATTTGGTTTGTTCTGCGTACTTGATAATCTCCCAACTTGCACACGTCGCTGATGCAAATTGTGGTAAACTTGCGCAATTGCATCGCGTGGTATTTTTTAAATAACTCGGACATTTTGTACTTATCACGGATTTACTTATAACCAATTTCTTCTGTATGCTCATTTAGCGAGTATTTATGTCGTCATATGCGTTTACTTTATTCGATATTGGCATCTTGAGTGATTAGCTGTTGTTTGACATCCCAGGTGTGGCTGCGCTTGATGTGTATGTTGACAAGGTGCCTACTTGTCTATTACCCACTACATCGTCGATCTGGCTCCAGGAGACAGTTAGTCGTTGCTGGAGGGGACGGGGTGCACGGTCCTTGTGGTCGTGCTAGGCTTGAAGAGTGGTTCCATGCGTTCAGTGTGGAGCGGACTACGGTCCAGCCACCGCCTTGTGTGCACTTGATTTCCCAAATACAGCGTGCTTGTTTGCCTGTGATGGAGTGTGGGCCGGCTCCGTTGATGAAACGTGGTTCCCATCCGCATGCCTCCCGGTCTTATTCCTTCGGGTTTACACTGGATACGGGGTGTGTGGATGGAGCTGTGGGTGGTGCAGCGCAAGCCATCCATGGTCACTCTGTAGGCGCAGGCGTCCTGTGGCTGGCCACAGTGACAGGCAAATCCGAAACAGGATGCCGCCAACCGTGTATATATATATATATATATATATATACGAAAAGATGAAATAAAATAAATCCAATAATGCATACAGATACGGTGGCATAAATAACTCTTTGCTGAATTAGCATATGAAGTAAGCTGGTTAGCAACGAATCAGCGATAAGTAAGAAATGTCAATAATTTAGTTAAAACGCAACAAGGTTACCGAAGATAAGCGCAATTAGCGTAAGCAACGTGGTCAGTTAATAAAAGATTATTCAGGTAGACAGAACAAACCAAATAAAGTGGAGTGAAGTTTGTCCAGCTTAAAAGACTTAGTTTAAGTGTAAGTTGATTTAGCCCAACTGCGTTGAAGAAGCATCAAGAATGCAACAACGGCCTCAGCACTGGGCATGTATATATATATATATATATATATATATATATATATATATATATATATATATATATATATATATATATATACATATATATATATATAGTCGCAATAGCTTACGAAAAGGCATGGAGGCATCGGAAAGCATAGATTTCAAAGGAAGGTACAGATATCGTTTAAGAACACAACACAGGACTGAGGAGTCCATGGTTCCATCAAAGGGCCAGGTACTACCCGGTTGCCGAAGTCGGGTTTTGACTTAGAGGACACCACCCCGAGCCTTTGGCGAATTGGCATGCCCACAAGGCAGCGGCGCGAAGTCAGGGAATCGCACCCATTGGGAACCGGTGGTTGCTTGTCCAGTTCACATATCTAGTTTGTTCGTTTGCCAAACAGGGGCCCTGTGCTCCCCAGAATTGCAGCATAAATTTGCTGGAGTAAAATGCTTCGCCAGGATGAAACAAGAGGCAGTGACTTTATTTTATAGTGAGTCACATCCGCCACGTCACAGTGTTGTTACACGGACATATGTGCCTTTTTATATTGAGATCGCTTGCCATTCGAAAACACACCACCTCCTGGAACACTGTCGCCGAACGATTTACTGAAACGGGATAATCCTGAAACACTCAGCTGACACCACGAGGTTATTTGGCAGGTCAGCTCCTTTGGAGTTTTTCCACACATTGCTTTAGGTCCTAAAGACTATGATCATGTTCGATTGGACACGCTTTTTGACTTCAGTGGCGTTTTTGTTGTCAGTTTCTTCTTTTCCGCCGCTTCCGCTTAGCCTCCCGTCATTTGCGATTTCAGTCTCTACGCCTAATATAATTTTGATGTTTTGTTTTATTTTTTATCCTTTTTTATCTTTTCATTTTATTGGTTTGTATTGCGGCACAATAGCCCAGCGTTTCCTCTCTCGCTAATGATGATGACTGGAGGTGACATCTTCAGTGCGCATTTGATGTTACCATCTTTGTTTTATTTTGATTAGTCATTCATTGTTTTCCATATTTGTCCTTGGGTCTTTCCATGAATCACCGATATTGTTGCTACGTAGATGGACTACTCGCAATTCGATGGGCGCAAAAGGCATAAAGCTTTGAGCTTCGACAAGAACAGAGCTGAGTCTAGTGAGGTTGCACGATGTCTAGCTCGGCGGACACCTCAACAATTTCCTTAGGTCACAATCTCATCCCCGATGGCCAGTTACTGTGCGAATCAGAGGGAGCCTTATGTTTTTTCAAAGCTCAAATTATTTATGGAGCTTTCGGTCAAGAATTAGACTTACAACGCGGCGTTTGGGCTAGTAACAACGTAAAGATCGGGGATACTATTAGTGCGCTTTCAAGAGTTGTCCGTCTTTAATTTCATTGCTTGAGAGGCATCGTTCAATTCTGGTTTGTTCACTGAGTGACGTATGCTGCGGGTCACCATCTTGTGTTCGGCAACAAATTCTCTGAGTACCTTGTTTTACAACTTCACATCTTATGTCGGCCATGTGGGATATTTGCGCGACCACCGCCCAGCTGCCCTAGCGTACGTTTACAGAGCTGGCCTCAGTCTGGTTAAGTGGTGACACGATAAAACCATACAATGAAGTTGACTACAAGGCCCATCCATGCCTTTCCTTATGGCGCCCGCATGGATAACAGCGATTAACTTCTTATCCAACATCGTTCAGTCGTGAGGTCGGCAATGTTCATCCCAATTTATATCTCCTTTTTCGGCATCTTTTATCGCTGCATTCTTACTAGCCGTCTTATTTTCCTTTTTACCCACTTAACGTTTTCTACTGTTATTGTAACAGCGCTTGTTCTGACAACCAGATCCACTACAGTTGTTTACAGGATCATAGTGGTTTGGCTTACCAGAGTTGCCTATTTGCGGTGGAGAGGGGATGAACTGAATCGCAGTTTCGGCCTCTCATATCATGGGGAGAGCACCTTAAAAGGAAAAACCAACCGTTTAATTATTTTCTGGATAGCTAATGGCCGTCTAACTGAGTGTTGCTTATCTCGGTTGCACTACTTGCTGATTGCCAGTGCATATTATTGCGATGCCGTCGTCCGTGCGACTTTCTCTATGTCTATGATAGTAAGAGATAAGTACGTAGTTTCACAAAAGCATGTTGTGCGTTATATGGTTGGCGGCATCCGGTTTCGGATTTGCCTGTCACTGTATCCTCCACAGGGACAGCCACAGGACGCCTGCGCCTACAGAGTAACCATGGGTGGCTTGCGCTGCAACACCCACAGTTCTAACCACACACCCCATATACCATGTAAAACCGAAGGAATAAGACCGGGAGGTATGCGGATGGGAAGCACGTTTCATCAACGGAGCCGTCCCACACTCCTTCACAGGCAAACACAAACACGCTGTATTTGGAGAATCAAGCGCACACATGGCGTTGGCTGGACCATAGTCGGCTCCACACTGAATGCACGGAACCACACTTCAGCCTAGTACAGCCACGAAGACCGTGCACCCCCGTCCCCTCTAGCAACGACCAATTGTCACCTGGAGCCAGTAATCGAGGTGGCGGGTGTTAGACAGTTAGGCACCTTGTCAACCTGCACATCAAGTGTAGCCACACCGGGGATGTCAAAAACTAATCAGTCACTTGAAATGATGATAACAAATACTATATATTGAATAAAGCATACGGATATGCCGATATAACTCATCGCTAAACTAACACGTTATAAATTGGCTACCAACAAACTCGCGCTAAGTTAAAGATGTCATAAAATATATGTTTTAGAAATGCCACGAACGCGAAAATCTTAACGAAGTTAACCACAGTTAGCTTAAGCGACGTGTGCAAGTTTATAGAAGACTTCTAGTAGACGTTAAAATGAGGTAAAAAGAAAACATTAATACAAGATAATAAATTCACCACCTGGAATAAAGAAAGTCAGCATGCAAACATGTGGTTGGTAGATCGAACGCAGTGTACCTACAGACACTTCGCCGGCTCTGCTTATATTCCATAAGGACCCGTCGTCGTTTCGATTCTGGTCCCGTGTGGTCTTGCTCGTGGTTCACTAGGCCTGCCTGACTCAGGCACTCCCGACCGCATGTGCTACAACACTATGCGCTAGACGCCGATGGATTACAACCCATCGGCGACTGCCGCTTCCGCAACTGCCGCTTTTTCTCCACATGCACGAGGGCTTTCTAATGCACCTCGGCAACGACTTTCGTGATCAGATCGCGCCATACGCGCCGATTAACCGCCATCGATTCCCAACATCTGAAATGAGCATTAGAACGTGAGAAGCTTTCTTTGATCATGTCCTGGTAACGAAGCTTCGGTTCCCCCACATGCCGCTTCCTCACACTCAGCTAACCGCCTTCAGTATCCGCGTCGAATTCATACACCACACGTGACCGAACCACCTCAAGTGTCTCAGCAACAGTATACGGTGCACTGCATACATTCCACTACGACGCAGCACCTCCGTGTCTACAACGCTGTCACAACAACCAGTACGCAGTATCCGTCGCGTACACTGTTGATGAAACCGCTCGAGATATCTCACACCTCGCCAGTACATCGTCCACGTTTCGCTGCCGTATAGAAGAACGAACATTACCATGGATTTTTGCACCATCAGCTACGTGCCAACGGTAAGCTGATGGTTATTACACACTCGGTACTCAAACTTTGCGAATGCCGCCGTTGCCTTCGAAACGCGAATACGAAGCTCATTGTGTAGTTATTGGTCAGTCGACACCACACTCCCAAGGTAGCAGAAGCGGGAGGTGGTTTCCAGTACCAGCACGAATGCCGATTTGCGGCAACGTTGCAGGTTGTTCCTCCAGTGAAGTTTGAAAAAGACAGTTTTGCTTGTGTTGATGGTGAGCCCGAATTTGGCCGCTGTCGAAGCCAGAGCACTAGTCATGTGCTGCAACTTATCCGCGCTGTGTGCAAACAACGCACAGTCGTCAGCGGACAGCTACCTACGAACAATGTTCTGTAGAGCACCGTACGGATGGTGGGTTGCTGAACATCTGTCATTTCGATTCGAAAACGCTAGTCTAGACTTACCGCACAAAGCTGAGCCCTTAATACCCTAGCAACTCTGCCTTAGCTGCGTACACCCTCACACATTTCGTATTGTAAACGATTTTATCATTGCTTGATTCCTTCGCCTTGTGGCTTTAGTAAAAATAATATGCACGTGATTGCAAAACAAGCTATCAACCTATTTCTTTATCCTTACCGGTATCAACTTCCAAGTTGCCACCGTACGCTTCCAACGTTTATCGGATTTTTTCCAGTTATTTAAAAAATCTACTTCAAAATCTACTTTAAATGGTTGATAATTTCTGGGGCACTTTGGGGATGACATATGTTAAGTATCCATCTGTTCTCCGATCATTTGTGGCCCCCTACTGTTTTCGCGTTTCACTCATCGCTAGGACAGGGTAGTATCCCTTTTTTGGCGAAACAATACATATCAATTATCCTCTTTTTGTACAGAATTGGCAAGCCGAGTTTGAGATCTGGTCTCCCCCAATTTCCAAACAGTCAGGTGCAGTTCATCCTAAGGCGTCCGAACACGCGGTGTCAGATGCTTCCCATAGCTCACAATTAAACGAGTTCGTCGATGGCTCTTCTAAAGTCGCACCTTCATCATCGGCGGAGAGCTGTAACCTTACCGTCACCCAAGCCCATGGCGACGATGCGCAAAGAAACTGCGCTCCCGGTGGCCAACTTGAGTGTTTGTCACGCGCTTTCAAGCTTTTCGTCGTGCGCGATGTTATCAAAACAATGACACAACGCCACCAAGTTAGTTTCTTTTACTTACCCAACTACCATTATATGGTAGCGCCCACGCTCTTTGTGTGATGGGTACTTTATCTATCGTTGAGCTTCAGATGTATTGCTGCTCAGTGTTGTTATATTTTCGTTTTTTCATGTCCGCGTGTCTGCCGTCACCCCACCAACACAAGGATGAGATAGGAGACTCCTTGGGCACTTTCTGAAACCATGTCAGCGACATTTTCCTCTAATGATCTTCCTTTCGTGTCTTTTGTATCGCTTCTCATGCTCATGCGGACATCGCGTAACATGTATATTTATCCGTCTGCTTGTTCGCTTGTTTCTTCCTCTGCATTGCAGCTTTCCTACACCATCAGGATAATTCATGACTCTGTGTACCTATAAACGCGCTCGCACACTAAACTTCGCGTGCCACTGTACGTCGCTTCTCACAGCGCGTTTCCTAGTCTTCTCTCATGATGGCTGCTTTGACCACATGACGACCTCTGCACTAACCTTTTCTTCTCCCCGTCAACACAGAAGCGGTAATCACGATCCAAGATGGATAAGCGACGCACCATCAGAATGCACCTTTGCTGATATTTCTCCTTGATGACCTTACCCAGCGAGGCCGGCCATTGGACGTTGCAGCTGAGTTCTCAACAGCCGCTTACAGCTTTGATCTTGACAGGAACACTTTTCGTGAGCTAGATTGCATAATTCACTCGGTTTACATCAGACGGCTGAGTATTTCCACTCTAATCCGGCCACAGGCGCAACCGTGTACTGATCGCAGGTTGAATACCGAAAATGGATAGCATATATATATATATATATATATATATATATATATATGGCTCCATCTTAGTTAAATCGGGCACGTGCGCGCTTACAGCATATTACAACTGCACCATATACTAGTCGGGTGCGTTCCGTTTCCTAAATCTGAAATCCACACAGTCGACATCTAAGAAGTGCTAGAATTGCGCCAACGACCTAGCATCAACTATTTTCTCAGGCAATATGTTCCATGATTTCACCACTCGCCGGTCAAAGCATAGAGGGAAAGCTACACGTTTCAGATTCGGTACTACGAGCTTGTACCGGTGTCCGCGAGTATTTCTCGATACACACACCTGCGGCAGTGGTCTCAGCATAGGGAAGTGGCCCGGCCGCAATATCCGGTGCGTCATTATGAGATCCACTCGAAACTGACGATACGACAGGATCTGCAACCTCGGTCGTCTGCATCGGTCTTCGTATGACATACTCCCTAAAGTGGTGGTGCCTTTGGTAGCTACATGTTGAATCCGTTCTACTTTTTGCACCTCACCACGGGTGATCTGACAATAGGCGGATGATCCGTACTCGAACATCGAGGCGAGTGGCGATCTCTCCAAACCAAATGCATATGCTGTGTTTGAGCTCCAACACTCGCGGTCCGTTTCTGTATGGTTTGTTGTGTTATCTACGGACTTTAATTCGCAACGTGAGAGTACGCTGATATCCTTCACGGAAGGTGTGGAATGTAGTGGTTGGCCGGCTAGTGTGTGCGTACGCTCATCACCACCCTTTCCCAGGCTCATATATGACGATTTGACTGAGTTCACTGCCAGACCGACATCTGCATACCATCTGGACAGGCGGTCGAGGTCATTCTGAAGTACGTCGCAGTCGTCTGAAGCATCAATTACTCTCCAAACATTCAGGTCATCTGCGAACAGGGCACAAGGCGACCGAAGAAACTGAGGAACAAAATAGACCTTAGTACTGCGCCTTAGGGTACGCGAATGGTGGTCATCCACCTGTATCCTTTATTTTCGCCCTACAAGGAAGTAGGTGATCTAATGGTGCATTGCGCCATCAACACCGCACATTCCCAGCTTGTCGAGGAGGACCCCATGGTTCACTATGTCAAAAGCTTTACTGAAATCATTATAGATCATCACCGATTTTCCCCAGTTCAACGCTTGCAATCATTCATACCGCATCAACAGCAGGTTTGGACACAGCAGCGGCTATTCATGAAGTTGTATTATGCGGGCGTCAGGAGGTTTTTCGATTCCGGCAGCTACAGCAGACCCTTTTTACTATCTTCTCGAGTACTTTGGCCTAAACGGAGGTCAGACAAATTGGCCGTTAATTGATCATCTTGCTTGGGTCATCGCCCTTCGGAACCAGCTTCATTCCGGAGCATTTCCAGTCGATCGGCAATGCACCTTAATGATATTTTGAACAGATAAGTCATGGAGAGCGATGTGACGGCCGCAACGGCTTGAGAATCAGCGCGGAGAGCCCATCAAGACCGGCAGGCTTTGTGCGGTCAAGACTGGCAAGTAGATTGCGGACATTTTCCAAATCACAGTTCAGACTCAAGTTCTGCGGAGGCTGTACGCGTCGAGCTTGGGATAGACGCATGCCTACTTGCAAATTCAGTAGCGAAATTCGTCGCTAACACTGACGCACGTTCAGAGCTGGAAGTCAGAAGCTGTCTCTGAGTATTGAAAGATCCAGGTTGCATAAATTCCTATGTGCTACTTATCAATTCTGGCTGCAGCTCAATTTCGACACCGGTAAGCCAATTGTCTGTGGACTTCATACACTGGACTTCTTTCGTCTAATGTCGGTCTTTCGGGGTGGCTGTTGGTGCTATTACTCCATCATCAGACCTCGTTCTAGTTAGCTCGTGCTTTTCCATCTATTATCCATGGAATGTGATGGAAACTTCCGTGATCCCCCGTCTGTCATATCTACCAGGCTTGGGTGCTTAGTGTCATTCATTTAACTTTGTCTCCGAGCACCCTATACTGAGCTTGTGAATACGAACGAAACAGCCGTCAGTTTGATGGAATCTAACTAACAAATCCCCTTAACGAGATGACAGTTCGCCTACTTCTATGTTGCATTAGGATATGTTGCTCGCACAGCATGGTTTCATGAAAGGTCGCTCGTGCATCACCAACCTACTGTTGACGAGGCACGAATGGTTACAAGCGATGAACCAAGGCCATTCGGTCGATGTCATTTACATTGACTTCAGTAAGGCTTTTGACAAGGTTAACCATGCAGTGCTCCTTGACAGGCTGAGGATGTGCGGTGTTGGTGGTTCGCTGCACAAACGGATCAGAAATTTCCTTGTTGATCGAAAGTGGAGAGTCCAGGTGGACAACCATCTAACTAACTGGTATCCATCGAGCAGCGGCGTGCCCCAAGGCACTACTGGGGCCGATATTGTTTCTGATCCATGTAAACGATGTGCCTAAGCTACTCCAATCACCTTGTGCGTTGTTCGCAGATGACTTGAAGGTGTGGAGAGTAATCCGCACACTCAATGATTGTGATTTACTTCAGCAGGATCTCGACAGTCTCTCGACATGGTCTGCAGAGGTTAACCTTCCGATCAACCCTGCTAAGTCGCAGTTTATGAGGTTGGGTAAGTGTGAGCACAGCCGAACGTACACAGTGGCTGGTCAACCGCTGCATCCCGCGTCTTTCGTGCGCGACCTCGGTGTGCTCTCACGCTGCAACCTAAAGTCCATTGACAACACGAATTGGCTGTACCAAAACAGCCTTCGGATGCTTTGGGCGCTCAGGTGCAGCTTCAGCGCTTGGTCCGAAGAGATTGCTACTCGTCTCTTCGTGTCGATAATACGACCAATGCTAGAATACGGCTCTCCCGCGTATTGTTCCATCACGCTGGGAGAGGTAGAAAAGCTTGAGCGGGTGCAGCATGTAGCCACCCGGCTGATTCCCAACTTACGAGGCATGCCATATGAAGACCGATGTAAGCAACTAGGGCTATACATCCTAGTATATCGTCAGCTGAGGGTTGACCTCATCATGACGCACCGGATATTACATCTGAGTGATTACCCCATGTTGAGACAACTGCTTCATCTGCGCACACCAAGCTGCACGCGAGGACACCGGTACAAACTTACCGTACCGAAGTTGAAGCGGGTCGCTCACCAACTCTGTTTCGAACGCAGAGTGGTGAATATCTGGAACAACCTGCCGCATCACATAGTAGAGGCAAACTCAGTGTCCGAATTTAAGAAGCTCCTAGACAAACACTTCGCAGAGAAAAAATATAGAGCGCGGAACGAAAAATAAGGCGTAAATGTGATAGAGCGACGAATGATGCAGCCACACAGAAAAAGCTCTACTCGCTGCTTCGAACCAGTATTCAGTATTCAATGCTTCCAGGAACACTCGTACCAGATACATCAATGAGTAGAGTTCAATTTGATTCGTTCCCACCGTCCTAAGTTATGGTTTGCTTGAAGTTAGTGGGCCTCTATCGTAAAAAAGTCATGGAGGATTTCATTTTGTTTGATTCGATTTGCATGGGATCCTTGTTGTCGTAACTCGGTGATTGGCTACTGTCCGTCTCGAAATAGACAGTCACTTGACCACTGAAGCACTAACCTGTCAAGAAATCACCTACTGTTGACTATTGTTGCAAGTTTATAACATGCTACGGTAGAGTAGCTTGCACAAGTTATTTCAGACCTCGTGCGTTGTTTTTGACCCAAGGCAGGTCTTTACGGGACTCTGCCTTCACATTCGTGAGTTACACTTACTCCCCTCCCCGCTTCATATTATTAAGTCAAGGATTCCGAATGGAGACCTCATTATCTTCCGTTTACCTCAAGCGCTTTTTTGGTGATACTTGTTCATAGCTGTAGGTGTAATCTCAACCCCCTCACTCGTGACTTCCGTGAAATGTATATACTGGTGAACAAGGACCGACTTGATTATAATCCCATATCAACACTATTTGTAACGCTTGAGCCGTGTCGCACACACCGTTGCCTGATTCCCCAAAGTATCGTGCTGTTGCATACAGATCTGCGATCTTTGGCGCACTCGAAAACTACTTGTCCTCCGAGTTTTCGCCTGCTGTCAAATTGATGACAATAAATTTACTTATGTACCTTTTCAATCTGCGGCGTCGTATCGTATATTTTGTTGCTTCCACGTTAAATAGAAGTATGCATATACGTATATATAATATATATATATAT